TGCTCTCCAGGCCTATTACAGACAATGAAGACTGTGACTGAATTCAGTGGGCTCTGTATCGAGCCTGTGAAGAAAGGGATGCATCACACCCCAGTGCTTCTCATATGCGCTGGGTCAGTGCACCGCTGCCAGTTCTCCGCATTTTCTTTGATAGGCACAGCTTGTTCTCCCACTCAAAGGGATTAGAAGTTAACGATGCAGAGTCAGGGTTTTGGTAAAGTTTTAGGATAGTTTCCTTTCCTCAGATATAAATATTATGTATTTAATTTGGAGTCCAATACTCTTGGACTTTTGAAGAGACTCTTTGAAGAGTCCAAGACTCTTCTTTATCCTTGGAGTAGGCAATCTGTGATGGCTCCCGTGGCCTTCATCCCACAGCCCTGGCCCAGCCAAGGGAAGATGATGTGTTGACACAGATGGATTTTGCCCTTTTTGGTGGAGCGTTCAGTTTGCTTGGGCAACACAGCCATCTGCCGGATTACTTGCCTGAGCACCTCCGGTAGTGCCAGGAAGGCCCCAGTGCCAGAAAGTGGTCTGAAAAAGATCCAAGCCTGTCATGTAGATTTGAAATCTCATGGGAAACCAGGAGGGAGAGCAGGGAACAGAGCAGCCATGAGCAGACGTGCAGCATTTTGTGCTCGTTAGCGTTTCCTGGGCACAGCAACAGCATCAGCAAGAAGGGCCACGGCACTGTCTGCGAGAGAGTCACCGGACTAGCCAAGACCGCAGAAGGCACCACCCAAGGCTTCTGCCAAGGGAGGGTTTAGCGCCATCGAGGAACCCAAAAATATGGCCCAAACTGATCATTTGCAGATGCGCATTTTTTACCAAAGGAGACTATCAGGCCTGAAAACGCCTTCTTCCCCTTTCCATCAGCTTTGCTGTGCTGCTGGCGTTTGGCTGCTGAGACTTGATCTAATCAATGCTCATATAGGGAGGTTTGTCTGGCCTGGAAGATGATATTATTGAATAGGTCTATCAAATTTGTCAGTGTCTCCGCTGACAATTTTCATGAATATATAACATTGAAATATGGCTCATCCATACTGACTTATTCTTTATAGTGCTCAAAATGGCTTGAAAAAAATCTCTGTAATCTGATAATGAGAAAGGATAAAATCAGTTAGGGGGATAATTGCTAATATCCAGATCTTAAGAAGGGAATATAAATATTGAAGAACAAAAATAAATAGGCAAATGAATAAACAAGATGAGAACTCCTTGATTGCCTAGACTCTGAATGCAAAAATGCCACCGAAACAGCCAACTTCTTTACGCATATAATGAGGAAATTCAAGAAAACATCAGTCACAGGACTTTCAGCGCAGGCACTACATTCCAAAACATACATTACGCTTAAAATGTTTAAATGCAAGATAAAGTGTATTTCTATTGGATTTGAGGGAAAAAAAACCCTAAAACTGAATCTTATTTCACCAACTTGATCAATGTCGACAATCTGCCATGTGTTGAAAACAGTGAAAATCCCCCCAAGTCTGATAAATACTTTGGGGGTTCAGAAAATTGAGAGGCCAGAACTGCACAGAGAGAGGCACAAACACACATGTGTACAGACGCTCTGCTGACATGTATTGCACATGCAGCCATGGCAAGGGTGGACTGATGAACCTGGAGAGGCAGACACCGTTACAGAAGGGCCACCTACGGCTCATTCTCCCCATGTTTGCCTTGCTGAAAAAGGGGACACTGCCTTCCGGGTGTCTCTGACATTAGTCAGGCATTTCCAATACTAGAGTAAATCTTGTGTGCGTAAAGTGAGAGCCCTTAAAAAACCAAGGCGATACAAACTTAATGCAAAGATTTACGCTCCAAAGGAACGAGTACCCTCTGAAAGATTTGTGCGTTCTTTGCAAGTATCAATGGGCTTGAAAGAACAGGAGGTAGCAAAGACACTGATTGAACAGACGGTTTGAATAGTTCAATATGAAAAAAATCAGCTGGGTGTTGGGACTTGTGGTTGTTCACAAAGCTGCTGCCTTCCTGGGACCCCACATTGAGTGTGCGGGGGTGTTTATGGAAAAACCCACACCACTCAGCTACCACAATCTCTGCAAAGAGCATTTGGCACTGCTGCATTAGCATAATTGACAACATCAATTATGCCCACTGCTATTTTCTCCCCTGGGAAAGTCAGTCCATACGAGTCAATGTTTTTAAAAGCATGTAGTGCTCACAGTCTCGGCAATTTTTAGTGCCATTAAATGGTAGAGAACAAAGGTATTCTCTGGAAAGGTGCAGGCTCAGGCAAATTGCTTCAGAGGCACAACAGCTGAGGAACTGCTGCTTTTTCACACCAAGCTCCACATGGTCAGGGCAGCATTTCCCTTCTGAGATGACACGAAGGTGGGAAAAAAATGGCACATACCACATTCCTACAATAGCCAACATCAAATGTTTCTGCACTTGAAAGAATATGAGGACGGCATGGAGCTTCCTGCCTGGCAAATGCTGAAGCCTGAATGTTCACCGAGCCTCACTTTTATACTGCTGTCTTCCTTCTCACCATTTCTGAAAGGGTGGAGTTGTTAAAGCTTTTTGATACAGCGGTCCCTTTCTCCTAGGGTCTCCTGGCAGGGTTATGCCACAGACATTTGGGGACACTGAGGCACGTGGATTGCCCTGCATGAACTTGCAAGTTTCACCCCGCATGCTGTCACTGTATGTAAAAATGGAAAATTTAAGCAAGAATAATAGTTAGGTGCACAAAAAGAAGACATCAGCTGGTGCAAGTGACTGGTTCAGGTTAAATCAATGGATGGTACCTGATGAAACCCACCCAGGGGACACAGTCACAGAAGCCCACTGGGGCCTGAGCCGTACCAGAAGCCTCGAGGAGCTGCTTGCCAAGGTGCAATGATGGTGCTTTTCTGTGCCAAAGAGGTACCTACTGGACCTCACTGCTGATTCAGGATGTCTCCATCCCTCCCACAGCTTTAGGGGAGTAAGGTGCCCTGTCTCCTCTCCACAGGCCCCCGCCACCTCTCGCTGGACCTTCTGTTCTCACACTCCTTCTGACCTCTTGGCACTCGGAGACCACCTCCACTATAGAACGGCTCCTCTGCGCCGCAGCTCTGCCGTCCTCCCTGCCCAGTAACCCAGTTTCCTCCTGTGTTCCCTGCTCGACTCCCAACCCCTGACAACGTTTTACTGCAATCCATTTTCTTCTGCCCACCATCTCTCCTCTCAAGTGTGGGCTGAAATATCATCTCTCTCCTAAGCAAGAGCTGTTCTCTTCCTCCTGCCCACTTGAGCTGAAGGTGCCTTCTGTGCACCTCTTCCTCTGTGACCCATGACTCGGCTTTCTCTTGTCGTCGCTGTGATCTCCTCCTCCTCCCTAATCCTCAACCTGCCTTTCCTCCCTTCTTGTTACAACTCAGTTGCTTCATGTTTAAATGTGCTGTCCCCTCTCTAGGTGACGTGGGTCACTGCCATCCTAAAGCTAAACCACAGGACAGTAGCAGAGTAGGACAGGTTGCACAACATTTAAAAAGGGGCTGCAGGCCTTCATCTTGTCTTGGGGGTGCCAGTGCTCTCCTCAGTTCTCCAGCAAGGAAGAGAAAGGATTTAACACAACAATATTACTTGCCCTTATTTCTAACTTAAAATAAATCATTTTGGCCTACCTCTCCATATCTCCTGCCCATCACAGGGTACAACATCAGCCTTTCCAGCCTTTTAAGAAAACTGACTGCTGCCTCCCAGAAAAAAGCTGAGAGTAATCAAGGGTTTGGGGGAAACAGACTGAAGACTTTTCTGTCTTTGCATGACTCTCTCTTCACCCACGGAAGGGCTCCTTGCCAGTAGGAAATACCTGGACCATGGCTCATCTTTGGAAATTAATCCCAGCATTTACTTTCCACAGAAATTTCTACCCTCTCTGCTTCATGCTGCAGCCACCCCCAACACCTAGCACTCCTCTGCCTCACCGAGACATCATTTATTCATAGCTCTATGTTTTAATCATCACGCACCATTTTTAAGTAGGAACAGAACAATCATTTCTAACGGCTGGGTACCCTATTAACACAGGGACGTCATGCATAAAGGGCCCTCACAAGAGATGACCAGCTGAATTAACTATTGTCAGAGGAGTCTCCCAGTAAGAAATGTTAAGACCTGTGAAGCCATCAGCTGGATTTCACCTAAGCCATGCAGCAAGCTGCTCGGGTAAACCCAGCAATCTGCACCTACTCTCTCTACATACTTTCAAAACACAGAAAGATCACAACCCTAAGCAATGAATGCATCACCTGACCCATTTTCACAATACCTTCCCAAAGGCTTGAATTCTCAGTGTGAGCTGTGAATATCTGCATGCACGTGTGCGCACACACGCGCACGCACACACAAATTCAATTTCTAAATCAATCCTCCCAGGCAAAGGGTGTAAAATATGTCTTCCAAACCTCACTAGTATTTACATGTTTTTAATTTCAAACACCATATAAGGCTATTCAGCCATTATATTTTATTGTAGCTTCTAAATAAATTAAAACCATTTATCACTTAGAAAAAAAAAAAACATTTTAAGAACCTTATTAACTTCATAGTTAAACACCAACAGGTAATATTAACTATTATGGCAACATTTCATGGTATCACAGCTGTGCTATGCTCTGGACTTTCACTTTCTTAAACCTGCATATCGTGACAAAAACATGCATAATCTAGTGCACTGATTCAATAACTTTCATAATGTCTGCTAATTCTGGCAAGTAGTTTACAGTACTTATTTCCGCTGCCAGAACAGGTGTTTTATGGCCAGAATATCTCTACGTTTACAAAAATGGAAGAAGCCCATTTATTAAGAAGAAAAAGAGTTTCTAGCAAAAGAAAGAGTAATGTGAAGGTAGTGTTTTCTTAAAGTAAACCAAGAAAACCATACTAGAAGATGAGAACACCTCACCTTAGGAAACGGACGACAAAAGAGACTTAGAAAGTTCCTGTGAATTGTGATTCTCATAGAATAGGAACCGTACCTGCATAATCTGTTCTTGCGTAATGCCCATCTTCCGATTTTGTAGTTGTTGTAGTATTATCTGTGTGAAAAGAAATATGTTGAATTGCTTGGGGAGCCTGTACTTGATACAGAATATACCCCATCCACCAGTGCCCAGGCAAATGTAGCTTCGCTTGCATGCACAGCATCGCTGCTGGCTGCAAGGCTCCCCTGGGTCTGCCAGGTGAAAACAGCAGGATCCGGCTTTTTGGAATGAAACATGAAACATCTTCCATTAAGAAAACACATTTTTTTCTAACAATACGTGATAACAGATTGCAGCTGGGATAAATATATCAGTATGAAGCAGGAGTTGTCATTCCTGCTCTATTTGAAGTAATTGGGGAGTTTTAATACGTAGCCTGAAATGAACTGCCATGTAGGGTGGTTAACTTTAAAGAGATAGAAATAAACTAGAATGTGTTTAATACACCTGTATGGTACGGCCTTGTAAGTAGTCGTACTGGGGATTTATAGGTCAGAAGCTAAGGGGAAAAAAAGCTATTAAGAGTCTGAGCCTCAGGAGACACTTTATTTACGGGAGCTATTTAAAGGCAAATTTTCTTCATTTTTATTTTAGAACAAAATAGACCTTTTAAAGTCAACTCAAGGGTTACAGGTGATGCAGTAGCCCATGAGCTGGGCACAGAGAAGCATGGCATTCATGGAGAAACACAGAGAGTCTTGAGCTGCTATTAGCAAAATTTCCTTCCAGGCACCTTTGGCACCTCATGGGCCCAGCGCAGGACACGTGAGAAACAAGCACCAGCACTGTGTTTGGGAGCACGTCTTTGGCCTCCTGAGATTGCTTCCTGCTGCTCCAGTTAAGGGAGCAACAGAGGATCCATCCTGGGTGGCAAGATGTGTCTGTGGGGCTCTCCTGCTGTCCTGCTACAGCTCCTACCCAGAGAGCAGAGCTCTGGGCAAGCTGCTCTGGGCAAAGTACAGGTGCCTGATTTTGAAACCAGTGCAGGGCTGGACAGTCCCCTGCCGCTGTGGGCAGGGTGTGGGAAGGGTTATGCGCACCACTCCTCGCGCCTCGCTTGGCATCTGTACCGTGGAGGGCTCTGCTCCCTCCCGCAGCCTGTGCTCTACAATATAAATTGCAAGAGTCTAATGGAAATGTAAGAGGTGCCAAATAAGAAGCCAGCCCCGGTTCTTTTTTTTTTTCCCCGAACAAAAATTGAAAACATTCTTTGAAATGAGTTTTGTTATGAGAGTTACCTTGACATCGACCCAAAGACATGACTTCAATTTTCTCCTGTTTCTGGCATGATGCCTCTTTGATTTGACATGCATTATCATAAGATTTCCCATCGGAAGCGCAAAGAGGATTGAAGTTGGTTTGAGAACAGTCAATGTTGCACACACACCTGAAAAGATAAAGAAAGAGAAAAAAGAAGAGGCTAATATGAGAAAGTTTTTTCATGACATCATAAATACATCTCAGAAATAAGTGTGTTTGTATTTTCCTGACTGCACAATGCAAATCAACAGAATGAAAGTGGAAAGTTCTGTCAAGAGGTCATTTGGAAATGAAATGTGGGGAGAGGGAAGAGACACAGAAAAGAAAAGCAAGCAAAAGGAAAGGTAAAAAAGAGTGTTATACATGGAAAACTACGCCGCAGCATTACCACTTGTAATTTCATGTAAACCAAAGAGTACCCAAGCAGATATGTCAATAATTCAAGCTACTGTGCCCTCTTGCAATTAAAGAAGCCACAAAATTCACCTCTATCGAGGTGCTGCCCATCATATGTAACACTGTATAAATGTGGGTTTATATTGATTTATGATTTAATTCTGATAATAGTTACAGCACCTACAGGCACTCTGATCATAATAAAAGATGTGATACTGAAGCCTCATCTCACCCTACTGGGATAAAAGCACCCGCCAAGACTGAGACTGACAGTAGTGATGCAACTGTACTCACCCTGTGCCTAGGGCCAGTGGGACCTCCCCCAGCTCCTGGATGTGGTGAGGCTACTCAGTATTAAAACCAGGGGAATGCTGTTTTTAGGAGAGACTTTGTGCACAAGCACTTTCTGAAGCATTTGAATATCTCAGCAATCAAAAAGCCTTACCCAGGTGTCACCCAGGAAGGTCAGTGCCCGCTCACGACCTGGCAACGTGCTCTGTGCGGGGTGAAGGCTCCCATGGCTGAGAGCAGAGTGCGGGCAAGTGCGGGTAGGGCAGTGGTAGCCCTGTCCTCAGGGAGCTTAGGGCATCTCCAGAGCTCCTGGGCTGCCCTGAGACATGAACCAAAGCACAGTGGGGGATTCACTTCAAAAGTCTGGTCTGGATCTGAACTAACACACTAATGTGGACACGTCCTGATCCCAGCAAGTCTTGCCATTGCCCAGAAGATGAAGAAACCTAATTACTTCCATCAACAGCAGGCTGCAGCCTTTTTCCTTTAGGTTTCTCCTATTTCATTATCATTAGTGATGTCAGACACCCTTGGGCATCGGCAAGGGAAAGGCATGCTAATCTTCTGTCCCCCGACCGTGCCATGTAACAGACAGCTCAGCCGCAGCAACGCTTGCATTAACACCGATGTGATCCTGCTCGGGGACAAAGCCAGAGGTCTTAACCTGGCAGCTGCTTCAGCTCCTCTGAGCACGTAATTGTGCACATGCTGCTATCTAAAGTCTTGCCGGCTCCTTCTGACATTTAAGGCAAAGTAACGTGACCGATGCTCTATCTCCAGCCCACTGGTTGCGCTGAACCTCACAGCGCCGACTCCATAGCTCTCCCTTTGGAAAGTTAAGTAATGGAAATGTCAGCCTCTAGCCTCGCTGCTTGATTTAAGAAAGTGTTTAAAAGTCAGTTCACCTTCCATTCGCAGCAGACATCTGGACAGCTTTGACCACTGGAAGTGCAGAGGGATATACACAAGAGAAAAACTTCGGTGGAAAGAGGAAGCACAGGAAATTAGACAGCATGGGTCAGATTTCTCCAACACCCCCTCTGGCCTCTGGCCTCTGCAAACGTGCCCAGGGTGATGAAAATCAGTGGAACCAGTACTCGTCTTCTTTCGGACTTTCTTTACATTGGATAGGTCTATTTTCCCCAAATGTTCACAAAATAGAGAAAACTTCTGCTCAAAAAGAGGCCAATGGTGAAAAGCTGTGGTTATAAAGTACATGATTTTGTAACTAGTGGAAGAAAAGAGTCTAGCTCCCTGTGTAACAATTTCACCACACTGATGAACATACGGAATAGAAGAAAAAAAATCCAGTCCATTTCCTAAGAACCTCCTTATCAGTGGAATAAGAATGTTCTGCTCCACTGAAATATTAACCGTTGTCATTTCTTCCCACATCCATTTCCAGCTTCCCACCTTAGTCAAATTCACTTCATTAGGAAACATTTACTGCTCAAGTAATAGCAATTCTTTCCACGTAGCTCCACCATTTGCATTTCAGATGGGACACAATCAGCCATATGCTCCTTTTTTGTAATAAAACAGCTCAGAAACAGCTTCACTTCCCTACATTTTGCTACAAAAAATGAGCGTAGGTTAATATATATTATGTCTCAAGTCAAGAGAAAATTAAGTCAACAAGAAAATTAAAACAAAAGGGTGCTCTTTAGGGGAAATCTAAGCAAATTTGGATGCAATTTCAAAAATGCCTAGGGGATGTAGGAACCTATGCTCAGAGTTAGGCACTTAAGAGACATATTTTTAAAGGTGTTTAGATGCTTAAAGATGCATGCAAACACTTTGTGGGGGATTTTTGAAATCTCAGAGACCTACCTCCCACTGATTTCAAAGACTGTTTCAGAGCCCATTAGGCACTTATTTGCATCTTTTGATACCTTCCAAAAAACAAAGTTCCAAAATGACTTTTCTGACCTCTTTCACTAAAAGTGAGAAGAGAACGAAGACATTTCTCAACTCCATTCTAAAATCTTAACTGCGAGAGCAGCCTTTCTTTCCAAGCAAGATCTCCGTAGCCACATGCTGCATTATGAGGACGCACCACGCAAGCACCATGAACCACGCACTACTTGTGCTGACGTCAGATTGCTCGTGTGTGAGGGAAGGCAGAAAGGGACACCCTCCGGATGACACTATTTGCTCAAGTCTTATAAGATGTCCTGCATGAAGCCTGATTTTCAGGGTTGACTAGCTGGGTGGTGAAAAACACCACAATAAACTTGTCGCCTCAGTCTCCTTGCTGCAAGGATCTGTGCATCATCCACCCCTCGCACAGTTTTCAGCGGACAGCTTCTAGCTTGCATCTGCAGTTTCTTAGTGCTTTTGCACTTATATACTCAAATCCTACTTTAAGGCCGCACAATTAAGTCAACATCAAATATATGTCAGGAAATGCTAAAGGTAGGATTGCATCAGGAAGATTAATGTGCCTGGGTTGCTGACTCTGTTTAATTTATAGTGCTCTTCTTATCAGGGAAAATGACAGTATATTCAAACATGTTTTTTCAAACTAGAGGAACAAGCAGCCTGCCATTTCAACCATGCCCCCAAAGTCCAGAAGAATAAATTACCGAGAAAAAGGTGGGGCATTTACTCCAAATGTGCGTGCCCGGGCACATGCGGCCACAGAGCATACGTCATTCTTAAGCGGGATCCACCAGCGATGTAATAAATACAAAACGAATGGCACTTAACATATTTGATTGAATGAAATCCTGTAGCCGTAGGTAAAGGTGCCTTCACTTCTTGAAGCATTATAAAACGCAGAAGTGGGACTGTCTCCTATTAAACAAGCAGAACCAAACTGTGACGTCCCCGCTTGGCCCCTAGGGCGTACATTAGGCGAGAGTCCTAATGGTGTACAAGACTTCAGATCCTGTGGGACACAGGAATCCCCTGCCCCAAAGAGAGCCTCACCCCAACACTTGTCATGCCCAGAAATCCCATTCTGCTCCTCGCTAGCACCCAGCGCTGGTGCTTCCCATCTCACACTCAACCCGCAACTTTGTCCAGGCTCTGCCCCGCCACCTTCTCGTTCTTTCAGGAGTGACAAAATCGGAGCAGCCTCACCTCTTTTGGTCGCTGGCTGTACTGGTCCCGGGGCTCTCCCCTGGTCCTCCTGCCCGCACGGGGCTGGCAGCACGCAGCCCGCTGCCACGTGGCTGGCCGGCAGGCCGCTGCCTGCCTGCAGCCTCCCGGTCCCCAAGGCACTTCCGTACGCCTCTAATTTTAAGTAATTTGATCATTTGACCATTTTATCATCCTGGCTATAACTTCTGATTATAGTTATGTCAATAAATCTATCTGGTTTCTGTGTTCCTAAGTGTAGCGCTGAAGAAAGCTTGGCAATATAAAGGCTGACTGAGCTTTCCTCTGGCTCAAGAAGCTGTGAGAAGGTCAATGAGGTCTCCTAGGGGGTCACAGGATGAAACTGTACCCAAGAGCATACGCAAAATACACGTGTAAGGCTTAACTATGCCTTCTGCAGTCAGGAAAGCAGCTTTAAAAGCATCTGTGAGGAAGTAGTGCTTCCAAGATGTCAGCCGATACCCTGCAGCTCCCCTGAGAAAGGAAGAAATACTGAATGCTGTCCCACAGGCCCATCGTATCTTTCAAGTAACGGGCTCATATGTTAATTGGTTAAAATTTGGGCTGTCACTGTAAACAATCATTAAACAAGGCTCACTTTCTTATGTCTATTCTTCCAGGTCATTATGATAGTCTCTGATGAATTCCACTTCTTTTATATGCTTTATTTTATTCCATTTCATTGCATATGATGAAAATCTTGGAGGAGCTGAACATCTAGCAATCCACTTAGTTATTTCAGTGATCACGAAAGCAAAAAAACCAAAACAAACTAAAAAGACTGTCCAATGGGGGCACCTGGCCACTTCCTCAGGGGATTTTGGGCTAACTCCCCCAGGCACATCCTACAGCACAGCTTGGCGACATTGCTAGCCATCTCTGATGAAAATATCACATCAAGGCAGGACTGGAAGGTCTCTGCAGATGCAGGTGGTACTAGCTAACACGCTGGAGAAGCCCACAAGGCTGCTTATGGGAGGGCTGACACGGCCAAACGAAGCCTGTGGCAGGTAAGATGCTGGTGGGCACCTCCTTATGCCTCGTTACTGACCTGTGGGGTGCAAGCCACTGCGCTTCTGTCAAGGCAGTAACTTCAATAAATGTACTGAACAGCACAGGGGAACCCATGTGCATTTTGGGAGTGGTTGTCACTATTTCACCTGTGTAACATGCTTCTCCCCTTCCCAAGGAAACGAGAAGAGCGCAGAAGTAGACCAGTAGTTATTTCCTGTACAGATCTTGGCCATGAAGAAAAAGCTGCCCAGACCTCAGAGAGGTTTGTGTCCCAGCAGTGATGCCAATGTGCTGCATCAGGCTGCTTGGCCAAGCTGGAGCAGC